ACATCATGGTTGCAAGATGGCTATAGCTGCTCCAAGATTTACATCTAGACCTGACAGTATGCTTATTAACTAGCATCTCCCTTAGGAATGAAAAATTCTTTCCCCAAAGTCCCTGAGCGGATCTCACTCCATATCTCATTGGTCAAAATTCCATTATATGCCCATGTCTAAATCAGACACTGGCGAGAGATCTGGGACCACCAGCACTGGCTCAGTCCAATTACTCTTCAACATTCCCTGGATCTCCTAGCTGTGCAGAGGAGGGGTTAACCCAGTACTTGGGCTTCTGTCAGAAAGGAGGATGGTAGGGTATGAAATTGGTTAGGCACCCCCCAGGGACAGAGACAATGTCTTTCCCAAAGTCCCATTTGGACTTGTTTCCAAATGGACTGCAACCTCTCCGGACCACATTTCAAGTTTCCAGTGGTTCTACACTGGATCCAGCACGTTGCCTTACATAAAGCAAGTGTTGCATAAAGATATGATCAAAAACTAGTTTTCTGGAATTCCCTGCATCCAGAGCAACAAAGTACCTATGTATCATCAGAATGGAGAATCATAGGGGTCACTTTCACACAGAGGACCTATTGCTGTCTCGGGATTTGTGGTATCAAGATTCTTCTCTTTAAGAGTCATTATTCTGTGTGTTCCTCCAGGTAAATCATTAGTTACCATAAGATACAAAAGCACACATGCATACACACACCCTCCACATCTTTGACTTGTTGACTGGAGTAACAGCTTTCCATAGTTCTTTCTCTTATGCTGTGCTCGATCTTTCTGTAATGTCCCGAGTTAAGCAGGGCTGATAGTGACTTTAATGGTAACATTTACATGATGTCAAGATGACACTTTCGGTCCCAAATATATTTCCTATTCTTCCTGAAACTCTTTATTTCCAACACACAGAATGAATGGCCTTTATTTTGCTGAATGTCTAAAATTCCACCATTAGCAGCTCATCTCTTTGCATTAACAGGCTTTTTCCTTTTTATACACCCATGGCTTTCAGCACACTAAGAAAGGAGCACTCATCACATACTTTAGAAGGAAGTCACTTGAACTGACGCATTCTCTGACTCTTGGTGGTGAAATACACCTGACTTGGTGGTCATCACAAAACAAGGTGGTACAGGCAATTCTGGAATTTTAATTTGTTAGGAAAGAGAAGGTGCAGTGCTAATATTTAAGCAATTACTTCCAAACCTGGCTGCACAACAGAAACGTATGAGTAATTGTTTTTAAATACTGAATCCAGAGCCCCAATCTATGAATGTGAATCAAAACAGTGGCTTGTGAACCAGTATGTAGGAAAGCAAAGCTTAGTCGAGGTTGGGCCGGTGTAGCTGGAGAGCCATGGGGGAGGGGAGTTACCATATCAGCTGGTGGTCTAAGGTGGTTGAGGGGCTGAGGCTGAGATGAGAGAGGTCGTTGAGGGTGGGTCCCAGAAATGAGAGATTACTTCAAACTTCCCTTTTTGTTATAAAAACTTCCTTACTTTATAATTTTACTTGGGGTTGTCTCTTTTAACATAGGACAATGGGGAGTTGCAAAGCGATGAGATTAAAAAAAAAAAAAGGGAAAAAGCATCAAGGCAGTGAAGGCCAAGAAAATAGTCTGGAAAATATTCTAACACCAAATATGGGATGATCAGGTGCAGTCAGAACACAGAAGGGTGTGTATAGGTGCATGTACATGGCTCTGGGGTGTGTGCTTGTGTGTAAGTGTGCACGGGGAAGTGTGGTAGAGAAGAAGCTGAACAGGCAGGCTGCGGCCAGATGGCGAAGGACTTTTTCTGACGTGTCACAAAATTTGGACTGTGCACCACGTGAGCTGGGAAGCCACCAAACGTTTGACGCAAAGGGGTGATTGGATACAGATAAGTGTTTAGAAAGATACCATTGGTGACAAAGCAGAGAATGGACTGGAGGGATAAGAGACAAACACAGGAGAAGCAGCGTAAAGACAGTGGGAGTCCAGACACAAAAAAGCGAGGGCCTGAACTGGGCAGTAGCAGAAGGCACATGAGTTGGGGGGAGCAGACAGAACTTAGAGACAGTTTGTGAGGTTGCAGACAAGGGAAGAGATCCCTGGTTTCCATGTTTGCAGGATAATGCTGCCATTAAACAATGATAGACAACGCAGGAAAAAATTTCAGAGGACAGATATCTACTTCAGCTGGGGACATGTGGAGTTGGACGTGCATATAGGGCATCTAGGTGGAGATATTTGCTAACAGATGGAAACACTGATCTGGAACTCAGGAGAGGAGTCTGGCTGGAGATGCTGACTTGAGCGGGGAGCAGGCCCAGAGGGAACTGGTAAAATGAAGAGGAGGATCCAGCATGGAACTCTGCAAACACCAACAAGGACTGGGCCAAACAGCTGAGCCTGGGAAGGAGACTAAGAAAGAACAGCCAGGAAAATAGGAGACAAACAGGGAGAACAGAAGCCAGGGGTGGAGGGTGCTTCAGGAGGAAAGAGCTGCCAGATTACACACTAAAGGAGGACTTGCTTACTAAGAGGGAAATTAGAATATTTACCGCCTGAGGGGAAATTAGGGATCTGAAAATAGGGGGTGATTCGGGCAGGGTACCAGAGATAACAAGAGATGAGGCTAGGCAAGGATTATCCTTAGCCAAGCAATACACTAGACAGTGTAAGTGACGTCGTGCATTTTAAAATCACATTTCCCTTTTCCCTATGGACCTATTACTCAGTTTATGGATTATCCAGGCCTCTTATGGTCTTTCTTTTCCATACTCAACCTGCCGGTTACCATTTCAATGATTGCAAGCACTTAAACCAAGGAATGATCAATGAAAAGTGATAAATATGAAACCAAACTATGAGCACTGCTTTTTCTTAAATACCTGTGAGAATGTTTATAGAAAGCGAATTTGAATCTACGTGTTATAGTGAGATTTGATGGTTTTAAGTTTCTACAGTGGTTGGTGTGTGCTAGATGTATAAACGCAAACACATATGCGCCTTTTACATTTTAATTTTTGGTATTTATATTACACAAATATATATGGATATAACTTATAAGCAACTACATGTGTGTCTGTATAGTAATGATGAGTACTCAAAATTTTATACAGATAGGGTCATGCCATAAAAAACTGCAGCTGTCACAAACCTAGAGCTTTCAATTACTCATTTTAATCTTGGATATTCATGGTATCAAAAAATGATGCTGTTTCCCTGGGAACTTGGGTTCCGATAACAAATGACAAAGTTTTATTATGATTACCCCGAATTAAGAGAAAACCTGTTCCTTGAGTATGTAAATACCTGGAGCAGGAGGAAGGAGGAAATATACAAACTATTTGGACAGATGTCATTTTAAATCACCTCTGCTGGCTTGCAGCGAGTTGCGCTTGTTAACCAACTCCAGGTAAAGTCTCTGTACCTGACTTCATACCTTGCGGCACTACATTCCTCTGAAGTATTTCTCACTGCTGTTTAAAGAACAAGCCTCAACACTTCAAAGATAAGAAAATGATGTTATATTTCCATAGCTTCTGTTAATAATGGGTAATTAAAGAGTGATGAAAGGCTTGCATTGAAATGTCCATTAGCGGGGAAGGTGGTGGTGTCCAGGAACTGATTCTCAAGGTGAATCCAACTTTCTCTGAAACCCCTAAGTTAGGGTTGATGGCCCCTCAAAACACTCTTGGGGTCCCAGGAGAGAATATCTGTGAAGCACCAGACCCAGGGTTAGACAGGAAAACTAACGATGCCTATTCTCCGCTGGGGTCGTGTTATTTCTCTTTCTCTAACCTGGAGAAAATGCTACAGGGTCTTCTGCATTAGAATTCTTTCATGATAACAACTGGTTAAATGCCTCAAAGGAGGGCAGTCTAAGAAAATTTCTCCTCTTTGTAAAAACACTTGAAAATCAGAGACCACTTTTTTGTTTGTTTTGCTTTGATAGCTATTCAAACTATGATATACAAATGCGACTCCCCCCACCCCACATAACCCCAAAAGTAAACTAAAGTTCTTGAAGTAAGCACACACGAGGCTCTGGATAATGGTCTGGAGAAAGTAGCCTTTTTTTTTTTTTTTTGGCCACACCTGGCGGCACGCTCCTCGACTAGGGATCGAACCCGCGCTCCCTCCACTGGACCGCCAGGGAAGTCCCCTGGGGAAAGTACTCTTGATGGACTGTGGTTGCGCCGCAGCTGGGTACCCCCAGCCTCATTTCCCCACTTCGTGCAAAAGGAGTCAGGCGACGGGTGGGCACGGCTCTCAACGCCCTGCCGTTGGAGCTGCAGCTGCGGGTAAATCTCTCGTTGCGGCGCCTACGATCCAGAAAGCGGAAAAGAACTTTTCCTGGCCTAAGTTTACATCCGTCGAACAGACGACGTTACAACAGTAAGAAGGCAGAAGGGCGTGAAGATTTCCCCTCTGCCAAGTATTGAAGAGGCGCTTGGTTTTCCTACGTCCCCTAAGGGAAGAAACATCCGTGCTGCGTCCTGAAGAAATAGGGACATTATTCACACCCTGGGGTTGAAAAATAAGCATATTGGGCTCCCAGGCTCCTGCAAAGCCACCAGGCATCGCCCTGAGGGGCAGGCTGTCTCTCAGGGCCGGATTCCCGGGACGCACAGAACCTCCGGGTCCGGGTCTGGCGGGGCACCTGTCTGAGCCCGGCAGCAGGATTCTGGATCTCCAGGCGCTCCACTAATCTTTACTCCCCCATGCATGTGTGCGCGTCCGTGTGTGCCTAAGAGCGAAGCGCGTATCGAGCTGACTTTGAAGGGTGCTTTGCAGACAGGGTGAGACGTGCCTTATGAGGATACCAGGCGAGGGAGAGCGGGAATGGGGAGTCTCTCTCCATCCTGCTGGGATGGCTAGGCGCCTGGGTCCACGTGGAATCAGAGCAGAGACGCGCGCCACCTGTGCCTCGCTGGCGCAGAACTCCTCGCTTTTGCCCCCGGGACCCACGCAAGTTCCTCCTGCAACTCATGCGGAGCAAACCCGTCGCTTACCTTGATTGAGCACTAACACCAGCCGCAGCAGTGTGCTGCCTGTCCGTCCTGGCCGCATCCTGAGCCCGCCGCCCCGGGCACTGGAGCTGCTCTGGGTTTGCACGGGAACCCAAGGACCCGGAAACTCCCCACGAGCCGTCCCGAGGTCTTCTCTCCCGCGCCCGGGTGTGAGCAGGAAAAAGTTGCCGGGCAGCTCCCGGGGCGCCAAGGCCCGCCCCTTCGCCTCAGCAAACACCCGACCTGCTCCGGCCCCGCCCCAGCCCCGCCCCTCCAACCGGCGAGCTGCACCTGGGCTCCTCCACACCCCCGCAAACCTCACCTCCACCCCCGCACACCCTCCCAGCCCAGGGATCCAGGAAGTGGTGCGGGTGGGAACTTCGCCCCTGGGGGCTTTTCCTGCCGGGCGCAGCAGACGGGCGAAAGCTAGCCGGTCTATTACCCCACCCATGACAGCCTGACGCTGGCCCTCGGGGGACCCGGGGTCCCCGAGCGGCCCCGGCCGCCGTGCAGGCCTTCCGGCTGCCGGCTCCTGGCAGGGGTGGGAGGGCTGGGGGGAGCCGTGAGCCTCAGCCACAGTTCTCAGGGGCTGCGCCGTGCATGCCTTCTCTGCCTTTCCCAAGTGGGTGGAAAAACGGACAAAAATAAGCGCACAATGACCAGGCTAGAAACTAACTCGACAGGAAAGAAGATCTGCCCACAAGTTATGATTATCCCGAAGTGATATTTAAGCAAGAGCTGCTGCAAGAGCGCCGTGTGTGCGTGTGCGTGTGCGTGTGCGTGTGTGTGTGTGTTATAAATCCTCATACCTTCCTCTCCAAATAAGGAGCTGATTTTATTGCCAACTTTAAGCGATGTACTTCAAGATACACAGAAGAGTGAGAACCCCTGTATGAGCTCGTGATTCTTTCTGTTTGTCTACATTACATTGTGAGCATTTTCTTCCATTATTTCAGGCTCAGATCTGGAAAGAGAACATTCCATAACTACTTCTGAGATTTTTACTTCCCAACCTAAGAAATAGAATATTCACTTTTCTCTAAATCTGATTTTTCCTCCGAAAGTTCACCCACAAGTTCCCAGCACATTGTTGAAACCAGAATCCTTCCAGTGACTACTTTTATGAAGTAATCAAAAGTTTTAATAAACTAAAGGATTTGCTGGTCTAATCATTATTATTATCACCATTCCAAATCTTTATGGAGCAGGTACTATCAGGAGGATGGGATACTGGCATACTACATACTGCCACTAGGAAGCAAAGTGGTTCAAGATGGGAAGGACTTAACTGGTAAAAATCAAATGCTCCCCTTTACCATAGCTAGGGCTGGAGTCTCAAATTGTTAAAGTATTAAATTGGTATTCATCAGATGCTACTGCTTATAAATCATGACTATAAACTCAATACATTTGAAACCAAAATCTATGGCCCCTGGTTGTTTCCTGTTTTCTTATCTGTCACTTACTACTTACTAATCCTGACAAACACTTGAAGGCATTTTTTTTCTGCGCTGTCGATGGTACTCACCTGCTTACTAAGACTCCATATAACACCTGAGAATTTGTAGGTGGCCGCTCACTAACCCTGACACCCAATCGTGGCTCTCCTCACAGACTTCTTGCAGGAAGTCAGCCAGGTTTCAGGGAGATGAATATCTGTCTGTTTCCTTCTGACTCACTGAAATGTGAGTAAGTGTTTGGAACAGACCCTTGTTTGGGAGGCAGGAGAGTTCCCTTCATGTGAGACAGGAATCTGTGCTTTGTCTCAGAGCGCTGGAGAGGAAAATGCACCCTTCTTTGCTTTTGTGCTCAGAACCAGACAAATTAACATCCTGGCATGAGGTACAGGATAAATCAGGAGCTATATTTTTCCAGAGCAGGCAACAATTTCAAATTTCAAGAAACAAAGAGCCAACTCCTGCCCCGCATTAACTTTTTAAGAGTGTAAAGGGTTCCTGACACAAAACAGTTTGAGAACTTCTGCCTTAAACTTCCTAGGAAATATCCTGCCTAAGTGTAATTTTTCTGGACACCACATTCTGAGCTGGAAATAAGATTAAGGGAGGGCTTCTCAAACTCTTTGGTCTCAGGATCCCTCGGATGAATGAATATAAAAAATGTGATTATATATATATATGATGGAATATTATTCAGCCATAAAAAAGAAGGAAATTCTGCCCTTTGCAGTGACATAGATGAATCTAAAAGACATTATGCTAAGTGAAATGAGCCAGATAAAGACAAATACTGTATGATCTCACTTACATGTGAAACCTAAAAACGTCAACTTATTGTACAGAGAGTAGAATGGTGGTTACAAGGAGCTGGGGTGTGGGGAATATGGGGTGATGTTGGTCAAATGGTACAAACTTTCAGTTAGAACATGACTAAGTTCTGGAGCTCTAATGTACCTCATGGTGCCTATAGTTAATAATACTGTTTCATATGCTTGAAATTTGCTAAGAGAATATATCTTAAGTGTTCTTACCACACACACAGGAAAAGTAAATATTATGAGGTGATGAATATGTTAATGAGCTTGGTTGCGGTTATCATTTCACAATGTATATGTATATCAAAACTTAATTTGTCCATTTTAAATATGTACATATTTTAACTGTCAACTACCCCCTCAATAGAGCTGGAAAAAAATATTGAAGATCCCAAAGAACTTTTGTATATGTGAATTGTTTCTATCAATGTTTACCATGGAAGAAATTGAAATGGATAAATTTTTCAATATTTATGTGTTAATTCATCTTAAAATAACAATAAAACTATTACATGTTAACATAAATAATACATTTTATGAAAAGTAACTCTATTTCCCAAAATAAAAGAATTCACGAGAAAATGACATTGTATTACATTTTTGCCAAACTTTTTAATATCTGGCTTAAAAAATAAACACTTGGATTCTCTTGTCTGCTTCTGCAGCCAATCCATTGTAGATACGTAGTTTTGGTGAAATTATATGAATTACTCTGTCATTGCACAGATTTATAGCTGGAAAAATAGAACATACTTGTGGCTATTCCTCTAATACTGCACCAAGATTCAACAAGTGGTGTTTTTAAAAGACTAGCTGTGAAACTGTGGGTTAAATCCATTTCACCTGCCTTCACTCACCAAAGTCTTTTTAAGACTTGCATGCCCTCCAAGCTGCACGTAGCCTAAACCGTAAGATGTTTGTCCCAGTGAGTTGTTTTCTAGAAACTTAGAGTCTGTTGTGTCCAGTCTGAGCTGAGACTGGATAGGACCACTGATCCTTCAACTGGGCAAGTGTCCTGGGTGACCTTTGGAAGGTGCAGAGGCCTGTAGCTTCTTTATGCTTGTGCAGAACAACGATTACCACACCTTTTTCCAATCACATTTCCCCATGCTCTCCACACTCCCCATGCTTCAGACCGCCCTGCTTCTTTATTCATTACCACATAAATAGCCCCAGCCCCTTGCCTTCAGGGATGTGGACTTGAGATTTGCTCTCCCATCTCCTCACTTGGCTGCCTTGCAAATAAACCCTCACTGTGCTGCAAACCTTGGTGTCTCAGCCTTTTGGCTTGCCATGGGTCAGACAAGATGCACCTGGTTTGGTAACAGTTGCAGTGTGAAACAGGAAGCCATATCAATGAACTTTTCCTACCCTAGTGCTGGTTTGCAACCTGGGAAGTACCCTGGGTGAAATTCGAAATTGGCCCTTCACAGAGAGAGTATAATCTAGTGGGGGAGATGGGGAAATAAACCACCATCCGCAGGATAACTTCCAATGGATACAGGCAGAGAGTAGCTTAGGGTCACAAAGGGGGCCATCTGACTCAGACCTGGAGGATCTTGGAAGACTTTCTTGTATAAGGAACACTTATGCTAAATTTAGAAGGACTCCACGTGGAGTCAGCTGCATCTAGTTCAAGCTGAGCTGGTTAAGACTGGATAGGAACATTGATCCTTCAGCTGGGCATGCACGTACAGTCAGCACACGGAGGGCAAGGTGAGACCCAAGAAAGAGGCAGGCCACTACAGATTGGTAGGTGGCAGTTTTAATAAGCAAGGGAACTTGCATATGAGGCTTGTCTTGGGTAAGATGAGTGGATCTCTGTGCCCTCCTGCAAGATGATGAGTTTATATAGAGGCCTTAATAGCATTCAGTCACATGTACAGTTCAGATGGTCTCAGTAACATTACTCTCTCAAGGCTTGGAGTGACTCCTGCTGTGGGAACAGTGGGTAGAAGGTACTGGGGGGTGGGGAAAGCCTGTGAAATTGCCTTGGTCCAGCTCACAGTTATCCTCTCGGCGACCTCCTCCAGCACCTGGTGCACTAAACTTCATTGGTCCGTTGAGTATTTTGACTAGATCTCATGCAAGATTTTGTCCCATTGTGCTTGCATTGTTCATTCGGAAAACACTAGTTCATGGAGTGATGCAGCTCTTTGTTGATACATCTCATTATACGATATCAAAAAAATCATATCGCCACCTATCTCATCAGAAAAGTCTTTACATATCGGAAAGCTGTCAAGCTCATGCTGGCAGATACACATTTTCCAAACTTCTAATTTTCATTTGAAAGCTTGAATTTTATCATTGGCAAAATAGACTATCGGTTGTTTCACTTGAAATGAAAGGCCCGCTTTGTTCATTTTTGAGAAATGTCTGTGAAATACCCAAGTCTGGATAATCATAGTTTGTCTACCAGTTGTTCTTTCAAGGAAAACTGGTGCTCCATGTTCATTCCTGAGACCACCGTTCAACTTCAGTGTGCAGCAGAAGTGCTTTGTATGTACTACCCGATTTCCTCATGCAAAATATAAGACGTACTCAAGAGTCAAGATTTAATAAAAGTAATAATTTTTACGGGTTTGTCAAGGACATTCTCAAGTAAAACTAGCCTTCCTTCCCTCCCTCCCTCCCTCCGTTCCTTCCTTCCTTCCCTCCTCCCCTTCCCTTCTCTTCCTCTTCCTCCCTCCCTCCCTCTTCCTCCCCCACTCTCTCTTTTCCCTCTCGCCCTCTTTCTCTCTCTCTCTGCTAGTGCTCAGTGTTGGAGAATGCAACGATTACTCTTACTGATCATTGTTCTTGTAATGCAAGCATCCCATTGCACCATCAGGGCAAGCATGAAAACAGTGAAAAATGCAACTAATGTCTCAGTATTATTATAAAAGTAGTTTTGACCTACTGATCAC